ATTGTGGACAGGGTGCGTCGCCATTAAAACCCCGTCTTTCTTTCAGCCGAAGTGGATGAGTAACCGCTTAAAACGACAAAAACGAGGCTCAGCTGAAGAGATAAAGGCGACAGAGACACTTCATCAGCCTTTCAGCCCTCCTACGCATCTATAATAATGTTGATGGGGTGAAATCTCTTTAGGCATAAGAAAGCAATCACAACTGGCTACTTCAAGTTACCAGATTTTACACACGACTGAGGAGATGCGAGAATAGGAGGATGAGCGAGAATGGCAGGCTTGATCGAATTGATGAGGCATCACCTGTAGTTACTGAAACGAAAAATACAATTTGACATGAGGTCAAACGAATTGGACTTCGTAAACAGTTCACCTTGTACACCATAGTTTAATATCCTACATTAGGGGTAAATCACAGCCGATAGGAAAGTTCACCTGCTGATACTTAGGATTTTTGGAATTTCTCTCCCTCCCCTTCTTTTCGGCTCTAGACACTTGACCACTTAGACACTGACATGAAGCAACTCGACCTGCGGCGTTCAAAACTGTAACATCTGAAGACTTGGTGCTCAAATAACATTAGAGTAATATACCTTTTTGAATGATTAGCTAAGTTAAACTGCGCACCAAGAAGACCCACTCTCAGTGGTCCAAAACTAAAGGCAAATTGGTTTGAAATAAAGGATTGCTTACGGTAATTCCGCTTTTCTGTAAATTAGAAAGAGGATATTATTCAAATGACCTATTCGTTTACCTCAGCCCTAGTTAAGAGCTTGGGTAAATTATTAAGGGAGCTGCGGTTCCTTCCATGTACTCTGTGGAATATTGGTAGTGACTGCTATCTCAGATACTCCCACTGATGTAGTGGGAGCCTCAGCAACCACCACAGTCGAACCCATAATGGTGTGAAAATAATGGATAAGAAGATGAAACCTCAACTCTCTACAAAACTGAGTTCCCCTTCCTTTGTGCATCATTCATCAACAGTGCCGACATATCCCTATAAAGATTTTAAGAAAATAAAATCGACCTTGATTTAATCTGAACGAAAGTTGCTGTAGGAAGTCAGCACATGACTAGCTTCGCAGAGTTGGCTTTTGTGCTCCGAAAATTTTTGCCTTTTTGGCTTCTAGGAAATTAAGGTAATCTGGAAAACCTATCCTGTGTGTGTGTGTGTGTGTTTCGACGTTTACATTTTCACCCTCTAAATGCGTGTGCGTGTACGTGTATGTGATATCAAAGCTCTCTTTCACCGAGATGAAATAACACATTCGGTGAATTCGTGCCGTTTTTTTCCTCTGCAAAAGAGGAGGCAATGTATGCACAATTTATTCATTAAATCAAATGGCGTTTTGTCTTGTATCAAGATTTGATACAAAACGAAATAGTAATTAGAGAATTCCTCCACAGTACAATATGGATTATGGATCCCAATGGTCAAAAGTTTCACAGGTGGATCAGTATTTTGGCATTTGACAAGCCACAATTTCCATCAATGTGTATTGTAACTTTACTTCTCAGCTGGAAAACGTGATTAACATGTGAAGCATTGGTAAAAATAGATGAAGGGATAGAAAAAAGGGAGTAGATAAATGTGTAGACAGTCGGGAAATTATTTAACTGACCGAATGCCAGAGGTTTGGACAACCAGATTTGCCAATCGACGAATGGATGTCATAATGCACAGATAGACAGGTGAATACACAGGTTGATCTAAATTAAATACTCGAAACACGGGAGTGAGGTCAATTGAGCTTCTCTATTAAAAAAAGACTCATGGAAGAGAGGCAAAAAATACAAGTGAACACACCTCTACATGCCTACGGCATGTCTAGACATCCCTATTGCACACTGGATCATTTGTTTGTACCACAGACTTATTCATTTCCTCTCTTCGAACGGCCACCTTACCCGGTGTCACAGCAGATAGTGTTGGAAAATAAATACACCCCTCCTCCTGCCTCTCCCTCAAAGATCTTCTTTGGCTCTCCTTTTAGTGCCAAAAGTACTACCCGGTCAATTTTTTTCTCCACATTCCACAAACGATTTGTGCGAGGATGCATTTAAAACCAGCAAATTGTACCCTTTTAATTCTATTTCAGCACTCAACGATTACTGGGCAGAACCCTGAAACACGGCTAGAGAGAGAGGGAGGAGAGGACCAAACAAGTGATCCGAATACGAGTGGATTTCGCACCCTCTTTGGTCTTCAATATTCGTTGCTGCAGTGCCAATGAAGTGAGAGCTGCACTGTCCACATCCTATTTACACAGCCTTTCGGGAGATCGAGTAACAATAAAGAAGACCCCCAAAGTTAAAGAGAGAATTTGAAGCAGGTAGTAGTCATTGACATTGTGAGAGTAGAACTTCAAAAATGGGCTAGACTCCAACAAAAAACGACATTTATCCAAAAAATTTCACTAAATGCTAAAATTTGGAGCTTCTGCAAGAAATAAATGTCAAAATTCTATTAAAAGACATGACAATTCACCAGAAAGGAGACTACTTGAAATCCTATGTTTTCTGAAACAAAATAAACTGGGCGGTGTTACATCATGCCTTGAATAGTGAAATTTAAAGTGGTGATCTCTTGCGATATACATCTTTGTATAAAAATTTTGTAATTCCATTGGCAGGTGATTTTTCCCAAAAATCTCCGAGAAAGACTTATTTTGGGAAAGCAAAAACAACCAAAGACCGGAATCGACTACCGCGGCTGTTAAAGAAAGAAGGAAAATAATTTATTATCCTGGCAATCTCTACCCTTCAATACAACGGTCTACCTTCACCGAAAGGACGGATACAAGGTCAACTGAGATCACCCAAAGTCAATTAATAGTGCTGTAGTCTCCGCATTTTTTGTAGTTTCGCTAACGTCTACGCTAAACGTCCATGCAACGACCGCCTTCCTCTAGGTGTGAATGCTTGCAAGGTTCATGCTAAGCAGGGCAATACTGTTTACTAGAAAACTGAAAAAAACAGAAGGAAGACACTACTGATATATCGCGTGCACACCGACGCAATGCTGGCTGGGCTTTATTGTTTACCTTTCGATGTAGGCGCGGTAAACACATCTGCTGCCATTCTTTTCAGCTCTTGTGCAAAAAACACAAAGACAGCAGCAGCAGCAATCCACCTAATCTTTCTTCTCGAAGAGAACATCTATATGATGACTCACACAAATGAGCTTTAAAGAAGGTGGAAGAGCGAGAGTGATTCAATATATGTTGTGGCAAAAAAGGAACAACATGCGATCTAAAAGTGACTAATGTATCCTGACCGCAAACACTGTACAACAGCATATGTTGTTTTGAGAGATTGAAAACTAACTACTAATCTCAGCTACCGGACCGGTTGGAGGAGCTTCTGCTGTGACAGTCCCGGTGATTTGTTACTGTTTACCTATTCAAAGTAACGACATTAATTACTTCTGATAGAATAATGACTAAAGTAAAATACCATGGCGACTGGAAGGCAACCCGTCGTCCCGATTTTGAGAGTTTCTTTCATTAGCTTAATTACCGCATTCAAATGGGCATTTACTAACAAACAGAGACGCATTGCCACCAATCACTGTGATTAATCGGAGGACTGGTTTTTTTGTCTCGTTGCTAAGACTTTTCTTTTTCCAGCTAACTAAAGTAACGGCTAATATCATTTATTGCGGCGAATAAATGGTTTTTTGGTTGCCTCGGTTTTCAGAGCTTTTTTTAATCAATTAAAACAAAGAGCAAACGTGGTGACAATCCAACAATCATGTGTTTTAGTTTTATAATGCCAATTGCTTTTGGTGGGAAAGCACTTAATTGCTTAATTACTAGTTGGGATTAAGTAAACGAAGAGATTTGGAATAAGTAGCTTAATAATTGAGTAGTCAATCCCCTCGGCTTTCCTTCTGTGGCCTCCACAATCTTAACCCCAGCTGCTGCAAAGGTCAAAATGTGAGACGGGGGGAGGAAGAGGGAGACAAAGGCATACGTACTTCGCACTGGCTAATAGTACATTATTGATTACTGTACTACGAAGGTGAGACAAGGTTGAGTCGTCCGGACTCCAGACAGAAAAGGTGGGACATACTTTGTCTCCCCGTCTTGGCCAAATTTACCTCCCCCCCATCACCCGTTCAGACGCGCTTGAGTGCATAATGCCAGACATTGTCTGGTTGAAATGATTTTAATCTAGGTTAGGAAGTTAATTATGGAGATAAAAAGGAGAAAAAAGAAGATCTTCATTAGTTTGATCACCTATTTGATTTCAGTGTGAAATCTACTAACCACCGGCTTATTTATGGCTAACAATAAGGTCTGCAATTTCATGTAATTTGATAGGTTTCAGTGGCTGATCAAATATCACCTAGTCTTGAAACGCCAAGGAATGTCTTCTATGCTAAAAATGGCCTTTCTTGGGTCTATCCAACCACATCGGTTGTTGCAGCGGTTATCGGATCTTTGCTGAAGGCTAAGGGAGTGGAAGAAAAAGAAACGCAAATTGTTTATAGCCACTTAAAAAGAAGGAAGCCTCCATAAACTGAACTTTAAATATACCAACCAGCTCTGTTAAACATGATTCAGTCGAAGAGAAAAATTACGGAACAGGATAGAGCCTACAGGCATTTAAAACCTCCTGCTGCATTTGAAGTGGTTCTGCTTCGATGGCTGAATTGGAGAAAGAATCTGCCTACAATAGCTTTTGTTTGAGTGTGTAAAAAAATGTGGAGTAACAACACTCTATTGTTTTCTCCGCGTTGACTTCCGTTGCCATGGCAGCTTTGGCGTCTTTGTAAGTGCTCACTGCGTGGTTAAGACTCAGATGCTGGAGGGTGGAAATGACGACACTTAATTGAGCTAAAAAATTCCTCCCCTCTCCAACTTACGAACTTGCTCTCTCTCTAACCTGAGGCTCAACAAAGGCAGAAACTATGTTGATATTTGTCATAAAGTGAAAAATGGGAGACTTACTTGTCACCATATCAGTGGGAGGAGTCATCTCAGTTGCAGTGGCCTCCGTAAGAGCCTCAGTGACTAAAAGAAGGAAGGACAAAATTAATCAAGCCTTGACACAGCCAAACTCTAAATCCTTTAGATGATTGAAACTTCGCTGTCCCTAAATGACCGCCTCCGCCAACAAGCAGGTGGGAGGCTAAAAGAGGAACAATGACCAGCCAAACGAGCGTGTTTCGACTACCTCCGCTGGCAAATTAGGGCTCCACGAGTAAATCAAGCACTTGATAGTACCACAGGTGTGGAAGACGTGCGGTCATGGTATATTAAACATCATCTCCTCAAAAATGATCTCACCTTGTGGAGTGTGTATTTTCGAATCGGAAGGTTCACTGATGCCAACAGTTGTGCTAGTTCCTACAACTGTAGTCACGTTAGTAGGAATAGGGGTTTGCGTGGTAAATTTAACCAAATCCGCAGTCGTATTGGTTGTCAATGAACCGGTTAGCTCAACTTCCGTAGTAGCAGGAGATTCTGTTGTGAGCTCAACCCCTTGCGCAGTTGTTGCCACCTCTGTCGGAGGAGGCGATGTTGCAGAGACTTCCTCCACAGTCGGCGTAGTCATTGCACCGGTTAGTTCAACTTCCGTAGTAGCAGGAGATTCTGTTGTGAGCTCAACCCCTTGCGCAGTTGTTGCCACCTCTGTCGGAGGAGGTGATGTAGTATAGACTTCCTCCTTGGCCATCGCAGACATTGTAGTCATCTCTTTCACCCAAATTTTGCTTTCAGTAGAAGTGGGGACTTGAATTGAGATATTGTGCGTCCTACTTTCCATCAGGGCTTTATTGGTATTAGCAGTAGTAGCAAAATTTTCAGTTGTGGACTTATTGGTGGCTGCGCCAGCTAAAGTAGTTTCTACTGAATCTGTGGCCTCTTGAAACCCTTCCTCTCTGCTGTCCGTAGTTGTAAAACCGTAGGCAAGTTGGGAATCATAGTGGTGAGTGGTTAATGCAGAGTTCAGGTGGGCCAGAACCAGAAGACTTATCAAACACAGTTTCATCCTGGAGGACAGATGTAAATATTCATTATCGCTAAGTTCTGCTCATCGACATCCCACAATTTCCATCTCATTAAATGGCCTCACTTAGTAAGTGACATTAAAAAAATAATAAAGACGACGAGGGCAGTAAAAGCCGAGTTAATTTAAGGGCTAATGGTACAATATGTAGCCTCCTTTGTGACACGTACTTGTATTTACAAGGTCTCCACATTAATGAAAATTTGTGAGGGCCTAAACTTTTTGACCACCAATTCTCAGGAATGTTGACTGTGATACAATCGTTGTCTTATAAATGTTTCCACAGCAGAGATGCGAAAAGGAAAGGCGTTACTTTAAAATTTGAAATGAAGTGACTTTTACTTGTGCCCTATGTCAAAAAAGGAAGACTTAAGTAGCGAGGAGAGACACAAATCGACAACTCATGGAGGCCGATAACACGTTCAATCTTAAGAATGCAAAAACCGAAACTAAGACATTCCTTCAATAAACTAATCCAAAAAAAAAGAAGCAAACCCGGGGCGCCTCACGCCAACACAAATCCTTTTTATCACCAGTGATCTGGAGTTAATACAATTGCCTATATACCTCTAGCATATGTAACCTTGTTTTCCTATTGGCTAATTGCTGTAGAGGCTGAAATTTCATTGGCTACCGACGGGCATGACATTAATGTTTTTGCAAGTTACAAATTTTGGTGATAATTTTTTGCTTTATTTTACCTGTTTTCTTCAACAATGCTCAGTTTTTTAAATGACCATATCAATGAAATCATCTGAGGTCAATGCAGACAGGACTTAGGCGAACTCTAGGGTCTCAAAATTCAGATTTTCTCTCTTTTTTGAGACCATATGTAAAAAAACCATCGGGCAGTCTTGATAAGATACAGATAGTTCTTGTGTATTCACTCCCTTAGGTGATTATGACTAAAGGAAGGGTAGCTATTTTACCCATTGTTTAGAGGTGGAGTTACCGTTGACAGTCTTCCGATCTGATGGATTGCAGAGGGTGCCACCTACCTGAAACATTGCCTTTAGAGTTATATTTAGCTGCCGGCTCCAGTCTTCAGCGGCAATTAAGGTGTCATTTTGAATGGAACCTTTAATATCTATCTTGATTAATCCTACTTGGACAGAGGAGAGATGGACATTTCTGGAAGTGGCATATCATCAAAAAGACAAATTATTACACTCAAATACCAAGTGTAAGTACCATTCTTCTGTACTTAAACGTTGGAGAAGGTTGCTTGAAAGATGATTCTAGGTGGAAGTCTACTCCCTCCTCACGTAGAGTGTATTGCCCGGGTGTGGGGGCTGAGAGTTACAAAGCCTCACGACTGAATAAAGTCGTCTGACGATAGTAGTTGCCATGATGTTAGGCCGGTTACGGAGAGGCGTACTCATCTCAGGGCCACCATGTCATGCGTCATGGACAATGACAATGCCTACCATATGGAAAACACCTTTTAATCACTGTACAATGTATCACTAATCCTCCGAGGGATTCATCCTCCTACGGCTGCTCTTCTCCTACCTATTTATTAAGCCGTACCACTCAGGTGGAAGTTTCTCTCTCTTTCTCACTCCCATTGTTTATTCCCTTCATTTAGTGTGAATACACGAGATTTTTAAACTGCAAGCAAAAAAGGGGTAAAACTCTCTTTGAATATGAAATGATAAAGCTGTGGTAACGCATGAGACAAGGTGAGATGTAACGCCAGCCACACACACCCCTCACCTGTCGCATCAGATGGTAGTGTTGAAGGGTTTATGGAAAAGTAGATAACTTTGGCTATCTGAAGATGAATTCTACACTCTTTCATGATTAGCAGTGATACCTGCAGATTGTAGGTGAAACAGGAACTAATTTCTCTACCGCACTCCAATCCCCCATTGACAGAGTGAAAAGCGATCAAATGACAATGGCCAATGACCGGGTGAGGTTGTGGTGAGATTTTGAATGCTTCTTTTAAAACCAAAACAGATATGACGCGTCATTGTCACTCCAAATGATGGGCCACCGGAATAAACATTAAAATGGATAGTCTCTACGCCTGGGTAGCTAAGGCCAAGATACAAGCTGGATATTAACTGCACCCGACTTGACACGAGGTTGAGTTGCATATTCTTTGGTTGATTTTGAGATTCCATTCGTCTGATTAACCAATCAGACTCTGCTTGTAAGTTTACCTTTCTTCCAGCCTTTACTGTCAGGCGATCTGATACCTGACACGTCGTCAGTTTTCTTATGTTTCCTTTAATCCATGATGGATTTTTTTCTAAAAAAAACCCAATTTTTGAACTGCGTCCAAAGTTTCAGTATGTCATAATGATCACGTAACTAGACTAATTAAATCAACCTGTATAGGACAATCAGGCTCATCAATCTGGCTTGAGTAAAAGAGGCCAAGTATTTCACTTTTATTTTTGAAATAAATGCCTAATTATGACTGCATTTTTTTTTAAAATGGCAAAGCAAGGTCGCAACCAGAATCACGGGAAATGGACCACTTATCATTACGAGCCACAAACAGGGTTGATTTTTTTTCAGTACATTTGTCGGTGAATAAATTGCAAAAAATGCATCAGATTAGCTTTGCTGGAGAAAGAAACTCCTTTGTTAATCTGTTCACGACACTTGAATAGGTAATAATCGGTGGTAACCGTCTCTCTCCCCAAACTAAGCTAAATCAATGTCATGCTTGAGGTTGTCTAAGAGCTGGCACTCTGTTGTTGCTGATGCATGTGGATGACCGAGTCGGTGGATGCAAGGGCAACCCGCTGATGAAGAGGGGCAGTTGACATGGTCGGGAGTCATCCCCTTCAGTTTGAAAGATTCGCGCTGACAGTTGACGCCTTTTTCGGTAGGTCGTGTGGTCAATTCCTCATTACACACCAATCAGGGCTAGAAGAAGCTCAGTGAAATGGCATTCAAGTAATGCCACCGTCTCACAAATGGTCGGATGCTATGAAGATTGACATTGGACCCAATAATTAGGTGGAACCGAAGCCTCGAAGGGACTCTAAAATTCAGACCCTTTGAACTCATTAAATTTTATTTTCAATCCATTCAAAACCGACTGATGAGATTAGAGGTAAGCTTAGGTCATGTAGATAAAGTATGCTCTCAATTTTGGAGTCATATAACAAGGCTACAGTAGCAAAAATTCCTTTACGCGACAGTCAAGATAGTCAGTGAAGCGTGGCCTGAGTCACGTAACCTCCCTCTGGCTTAGCCATTTCACATGCAAGTTTCATGCGTCAATAATGTGGGCGATCAAGATAGATAACATTTGGAAATTAATTTGCCCTGCAGTACTTGCATCATTTTGTAACTCATTGTTTTGCTTTCAAGGCCATTTCAGTCTCAGCTTCTGGTATTTCTACCCGGCGGCAGCAGCCATCAGCGATAAAATCTCAAGTAAAGTCTGGGGGCGCTAAAATCCTTTTCTTATTCACATTTTTAAAGCATTTTATGAGGTCTTTTGTCGATAAATCATTTATTTACCAAAACATTTAGATAAAATCTCTAGAGTTGCTAAAGTTTGTAAAGCTGTATTCCAGTGACTTTTACATCACCCTTGTTAAGTTATAAGCGGGTAAAGGACAAGTCAAGAAGAGTTTCTTAATGCTTGTAATTTTCGATTTATTAAGGCTTTACCATATCATATCGATTTGTTGTTTTAATTGCCCCTTCTGTAACGCGGACATTTTCAGTCACAGAAACCACTTCCCACTTTTCCATCTTTGTCTGTTCTCTGGTTTTTTTTTTAAATAGGCGTATCTTTAAAAGATGGTCCTACAGGTAACTTAAAAAGTGGATTCAAAAATTTATGTACGCCTCCCGAAAAGTTAAACGGGAGGAGTGAGGATGAGTACTGGCAATGGATAGTCATCAAACATTTCTGGTTTCTCAACCTGTAGACGGGCTTAGACATAGGTTCTCTAATTGGCAGATCAAAAGGTCACAGGAGTAGGTGGTGAAAAGTAAATGACTCTTTGGTGACTTGGATCACAAATTTAAAGGTAATTTACCGTGATTTCATAAAACCGTGTTGATTGACTGGTTTGATTCCCCCTTCTTTGGTAATGCAATGGAGGCACGAACTGAGCGGGAAACTTGGAGTTCACTGCCTTCCAGATACTGGGAGGCTACATTCCAGGAGAGTGCAGGATATACCACCTACCCCCATTTGTAGTAGCTGACACACATCTTGTCCCTAGGACCAGTTCAATTGTAGTGGTATTTTATGTATGAAACAATAGGGAGAAGGGATTGATTAATACACGGTATCTCAGCCGTAAGGATGACACGAAAGTCGAATCCGTGAGTGGTTACATGCGTCTACTGGTGAGCATACAGATTTCTGATAATTGATAAAAAATGGAGGGACATATTTCAAAGGCAGCCTATCCTACGCCTGTCGGTGACGCCACGGAACGTTGTGACTCACCTCTGTGAACATTGGGTTGTCACGTTTGAAGTTCAATCGACACACGCTGGGTTTATCACCCCACATTCTTTCATGCGTGTGCAGTGGTCCCACGCAAAGGATGTGTCAACTCCCACGAAGGGAGGTAGAAAGGAGATTTGCTTCACCCTCCTGTATGTGTGCGTATCTTCCTCATATCTCAATGTCCGTGGTGCCCACTTGGCATATACCTCCATTGCGCCACACAATTATGCAGTTAAACAACCAGCTTTAGTGCCTGTGCCTTCTCCACAAGGTGACATTGTTTTCATGTCGTGATCATAGCGCTTAGACGCTATCGTTCAATTTTAGAGGCTATACATCGCTCTAAAATTCATTGTTCTGTTTATCAACAATATTATCTAGTGTCTTCATCACTGCATAAACACCAACTATAAAGGCTGGAAAGATTCGTGGAATCTTAAATGACTTCAATACACCTACACCGAGTTCGCCTCTTCAATGACCCTCAAGCTATTGCTGTACCAGACGGTTTACCGTGTGTTACGCCATATTACTAAGATATTAGACTCTTTTTCCAGACAAGGTTGTTGTAGGTTTGGTGTGCAGTGAGCCCTGACATTACTAAGTGGAACGGCGAGCACATGAAAACAACCCGCCTGACAGCAAACCCAAGATGCTACGCTTGAGTTGCAAGTGGCAGGCTGTAGACGTGATTATTCACATGGTGAAGGCCTGACAATCATGACTGAGACCTGCTTACCCCGTAGAGTTCAAAAGTGTGCGTAGCGGTGAGTTTTAGCCGTGCACAGCACAGCACAACATGACCCAGCACCACAACTCACGTGTCATGCGGCGAAGCTACCCACTCCTGCTCTTTCTTCCTTATAGTCACCACCAACCATCGTTATCATCCAAATCCACCTCACTATGCAGATTTATAGGCGCCGGTGAGAGTCATCCCCTCTTGACATGTGACAACCACCACATGACCACACGCGAAATGCGATGGATGGGTGGTGGGTGGAGGTGGGATAGAAGTGAAGGTGGAAAGAGCTGGAAATTTCTTTTCCACGACCTTTGAAAAGACAGTCTTACGAAAACTCAGTCCACAAAAAAACTTTTTTTGAATTCTTGGCTCACGGCGAATGTTTTAGTTGTGACAATGACCATGATTGTGGTATAATATCTGCTTCTTTCCTTCATTTTTTAGCGTAAATCTTTCTCATGTTTCATTTTGCATGATCTACTCTTGACGTCCTGAGGAGAGATGATGGAGACGCCTGAATAGTGGACCACAACGATTCAAGAGCCCAAACCTTCTCACGCATTTTGCAGTACCCACGGCTGTGTTAATCTCGACGACTCCCATGAGTGTATGCGATTGTGTCATCTAAACTAACCCGATTAACTCCCTGATCTTGTAAATAAGATCCTTGTTCGTCTTCCCAAGGTATCATCAATTCCAAGAATGTGGTGAGAAAGTAGTGCCTTTTCATTTTGCTGACTTATTCAGGCCTTTAGGCCGGCTCTAAACGACATCAGGACCGCACGTGATACAGAAAGTGGCCGCTTGCCTAGATCCTTCAAGGGGAGGTAATGAATTGCAGAACCACCACAGAAGGCCAGCATCTTTAGTGGATACATTACCTTTACTAGTGAGCAAATATTTTGACTCTACGCAGAGCGTGAGGAGCCAAACTTTTGGTCTGGTGGATAACCTTATCAAATTAGTGTGGGTGAAAATTGCCAGTAGCTGACTGTCACCTGTCAGACGGAGATAATTCAAGTTGAGGCTGCATAAACAGTGGGATTAGGCTTAAGTGGCACTTAGGTGATACAAAACTAGAAGTAGACAAAGTATATTTAATGCCGTCGCCTTGGCGCCCTGATTATCTTTGTGGTTACCAGTTTTGATAGGGAACTACCAACCAATGTTTGGTTGTGAACTATTTTGTTATAGCACAGCGATTATTTGTACCTTTTTTATTTATTTTTCGGAAAACCACCTGAAAAATTAGGACAATTACATGTCTGAATGTTTGTTAGGCTTCAAGAGTCTGTCGTTACTTGCGGGAGGTTGTAGGACGGATGCGCACGGATTGCTGATGGATTGACACTGCTGGTGACGGGTAAACAACTTGGTCTGAGATAATTCTGCTCGGTATGGCTGAAATGTGAGGGCAGGTAACTTGTTTAAAAGCAATCAAAACTGGTCAATGCGGTGAATGAAAATTTGATCCTTATGCCTTACAACCCACCACCTCACCTCTTGTCTCATGGTGCAGAGTTATTTACGGGATGACCTCCCTCCTCCTCCCCCTTCGCCTCCTACCCCACCTCCTCCTCCACCACCGCCTGCTCCCCCTCCTCCTCCACCTCCTTTTCTTCCACCTCCTCCCCCTCCGCCTCCTGCTCCTCCTTCTTTTTCTCCTTCCACTTCTTCTTCCTCTTCCTCTTCTTTTCTCTCATTACCACCACCTTTGCTATCAACACCGCCTTTGTTACTCATATCTGCATCCACCGTACTGTCCTGATGATATTTCTTTGTGTGACATATGACATATGTGACATATGACTACCACCACGTGACCAGGCACGAAATAGCATGGACAGGTGGTAGACAGAAGTGGGCTAGAAGTGAATTTTTTTAATCGCAGTCACCAAGCTTTCAGTAGGATTGAGAGCGTATTTGGTATCGATGTCAATGATGTATTTGTCATTTCAACCCATTTGTAAACTGAATTGAGAAATTGAGGCGTCACTAACCTTGTGGTAATTAAGACAAATTAAAGCCCGACAAGGAGAGCATTTTCTTTGCCAACTGCTACCCACAACAACAGGTGTCTAAAAGATAACTTTTAAATAATTTCTTGCATACTTTTCAGCAAGCTCCATAGATGGTTCCACAGCAAATACATTTAAGACGTTTGGGCAGAGTGCTGCTTCACTTGTTAATTATCTTCACGCAGAACAGGCCAATTTTGACCTCTCTGAAATGCGTCTTCACAAATTTAGCCATTTGTAGCCGTTATGAAAAGGGACTCAAAATAGCTGCCGCTTGGGATCGACTCTGTCTAACGCTGCAGCCAGAGTAACTCCTCGAGCCAACTCTCAGGGGGCAATATTACAAGTTGTTGAGACAGAAGGTCCTAAGTTAGGGGGCAGACTATAGGTTGATAAGTCGTTCAACCTGCATATGTAACTAAATCTCGCGTTACAGTCCCCTTCGATTCGGTTGCTACACTGGTAGCCTGCGGCTCTAGGGCTGGGCTCCCTATTCCATCATGTAAACAATTTTTCTGCCCCTTTAAAATAAAGGCTACTTCCTTAATCCTTCGTTTTACAGAGGCCTCATGGCTACTTCAGATGCCAAAATTCAATCAACATTGTGGAAAATACACCTTTTGAAATGATAAAAATTGCTTGAATTTACTTTAAGCGCATCTGACGGTCAACACGTACGGGCTCTTCCCCACTTAAAAATGTAAATAACAGTGGAAAGAAGTGGTGAATTTCAAATATAATCTGAAAAATCACAGGCAATTTTTAAAATGTTGTTTTTTTTTGTCAAAATACAGTGCTCTTTATTACTGAATTGCCCCCTATCCCGTGCAAGCTTAGCCCGCTTTCTTTCTTTTGCCTCTATTCATTATTTAATTAATTCTCTTTAATTGTTGAGCTTTCACACTGACACTTCAGCATTTTACTGCGCCAAAGATACTTCTACAATAAAAGTTAATGAATCGTGGGTGCAAATTATGTCGTCTTTGTTTGAAGGTAATTGTTTAATTGTGTTGAATCGGAACGGCAATTTGGGCAACAGTTTCAGGCACTAATTTTATCACTCCTTGAAAGTATGCTTGATTATCCTTCATGATCTCGGCCGTAGCCATCTGGACGTCGTCTGAGACGCTCAGCCTGCATCGCTCTGACGGAACAACCACTCGGGTGTCTCTATGCGAATGGATTTTACTGTAATGAATCTGTGCTTCCGCTGCACAACACTTCGTGACGAATAACATCTTTCTCTTCACTCCTTTCTCAGCTTCACATCCAACTTAAAGGTGACAACTCGTGGTCAAAATTGAAGGCCGACCCGCCTTGCCAGATTGAACTAGTCGCAAAGTGCGACTAGAGGAGGCTGCTAATCATAAAAATGTTGAGAAACTACACGGGACTTGATTGGTTGAAAGTACAGATTATACGCTAAGACAGTATTTTCAAAATAATATGTGAAAAATTAAGACCGAGATGTCGGAAAGGGTTTCATCAATGTGGAACAGTGGGCTAGTTGCTTAAACACTGTGTTTACACTTGCATTCAAGTTGGTAGCTTTGTGCTCGATGCCCCCTTTCTAATTTTCATTTGTCGCTGAATTTGCTAAAATGAAGGTGAGAAAAATAGGGCAAAATGAAGGAGTAGATTTACATAAGCATTGCGTTTGAATTGATAAAAGTGGTGACGATGGATCGTATGCAAGCAGGTGGAGTGATGGGTGCGGAAGTGGAATCCGTAAGGCTTGACATCTTTCGGATGCATGCTTGGAGGAACAAATATGACTATTTTCTCTACTTTGGTGTGCAGGAAATGACTTAAAAAGCCTGCCTTAGCTAGTTCTCACCTCGCCTTTTTTTCTTCCTAGAATGTCGCATACCACCTGGCAATTCACAGGTGCCAATGGTTTAAACTGCCATGTCGATCTTATTCTGCTGCATAATTGACATTGATGACACTGGCTATTACAAATTTATGGCGCAGTTAAAAACGATTGGGAAGGGAATTAGGTGAAGGAAGTGAAGTCAGAGTTGACGCCATTGTTGCTGCTGCTGTTCGGTAACAATCAAATAAATCAACTTGGAACATACAAGTAACTGCTATTCATAAAGAAAGTGTTAACTCCTTGGCACGCTACCGTCTTAATTATTCATTGACTGGATGAAACCTTATCTAAGGATAATAAAAAGTACAATTTATTGTTTTTTTACTGAAAAATAATAAGTAGCAAAAAAATCGAGAGCTTCTTCGGTGGGAATATAAGCAAATGATATCAAGTTTTCCGTCAACACGAGATCGTCCTTTTTCTCCAATAAAATTAAATATTCATTAAACTAAAAATAAGATAATGTGCAGTTGCTTTTTTTTTCAAAAGGAACCTTTGAGATATGTGGAGGAGCGAAGGGAACCAGGTCAAATCTCTAAGTTTATCAAACCACTTCAGATGTTTACCTGATTATTTCAAGCAGGCTAATATGTCCAACGCTGACAAAGAGATAAGGTTAAGTAACCATCCTGTGAAACGTTTATGCTTTAAAAAACCTTTTAAAGCAAGAAGCAATCAGTAAAATAACTCTTATGGGGGAGCATTTGTCAGAATTCCTTAAAGCAGAAGAAAGTTAGAAACACAGATTCCCATGAACATATACTCATTCCCTTTAAGGTTAACCAGTAAATATGTCCTTATCAAATCATTCTGTTCATTCGAGGGGTTCAACGTCAAGAGTGAAAGAGATAAACTCTGTATTCATGACACGAACATCTAAGCACACTTTTAAGCTATAAATGCAAAGTAAAAATCGAACTAATATTTTTAAAATACAGAGAAGTGCTAGAACAAGCCTTTAAAACCCTGAATTGAAGATAAATGCGTCTTTCATTTAATCCAACCACTCGGAATCTATATGTGGCGCCCCGAGACTTCCATGAAGACGAAAGAAGACACAACACTCGGAGAGAAAACATATATTCAGCGCAGAGAAGGTGTCTGGGCTAGCAGCATGGCCCAAAGACTAGTCCGCCCAGCGAGGTACAAGGCAAACCCAAAAGTTCAAAAGCGGCGCCTCAACAATACCGAGGGGAAAACCACTGCCGTATTACATAGCCTCCCTCCTCTTTTGAGCGTAGTCCCCGGCGCTCCAGCAGAGCAGCCTCCCGCTTTAGCTTTTACAACGTAGTTGGTGCTGTAAAGAAACAGCCGCGACCCGGCCGTGCTAGCCACCAAATTAGTGTGCAACTGAGGAGTTGCTTGATCCCAAAGTCACTAACCCCTCTTGACAATTTAACTGGATCTGGAGTTTCGGCCGGTTTGGAAACTTGATTCAGGAAGGGGGAATTGTGCTGGCCATCATGCGTGTCCACAGATAGATGTAGGAACACTGACAGGTCCATGGGGAACGGTAGGGAAAGTCTGCAACGAATGTTCCAGACGGTTCGGAGCTAGTGTCGCTTCAGTTGTTAATAGCTTTCCTACAGAACACGGGACTGGGATAGATGACGAAGATAGGCGTCAATTTTGACCCTTCTATTAAAAGTCATCACCGTTCTCCCATCCGTAGCATACGTAATTCTTCCGCTCCGCTGAGGTTTATCACGTGGAAGTGAAAGACAGGATACATGGACTATACGGTCGCCTTCGCTTTCCACTGTCACTAATGTAGTCCCCCGAGACTTCACTGAAAACGAAAGAAGGCACACCACTCAGGCAGAATATATATATTCAACACAAAGGAGGTGTTTGGGCTACTGGCATGGACCGAAGGCCAACTCACCAATGAGGTACAAGAGTATAAAATCAGAAGTTCAAAAGTATCGCCTCAATAAAACAGAGGGATACACCACCACCGCCTTACATTTACACTTATCATGTAGATTTTTAGGTCTATTAAAATTTAGTAGCTAAACTTTTTTTTAAAAAAAAAAGACTTAGCTGCTATAAGCAAGGTAAATCCATCAAAAAAGAGAGACTAAAAAAAGGATGCAAAAATTGGTTTATTAAACACGTTCAAGCCTTAACCACACTACTTTGCCTTTTGTTTCATTAAAACCTACAAAACGTTGGTGGATAACGCTGTTAAAAACGGAGCATAATAATCAGGCCTTTGCCCGCTAAGAAAAAAAACAAAAACATTTAACCAGCTAATTTTCGCTTGCAAAAGTCATACATTTTTATTGCAAAAATATTTCTAAAATGAATCATTTTGTCAAAAACCAAAGCTAAATAGGCAATATGAATTAGTTGATGATGACTAAATTTAAAGAAACAGCCCGTCAACGTCAAAAGACCCCAATCATCATTCGTTCTATCGCAATATAATGATAAACGTGGTAAGTAATCTCCTCTAAATCTCTTTGCCAGCTCTCCTTCTAGGCGGGTTTCTATAGT